TTAGTAAAAATACTGCTTTTAAATACAGTCAGTGTATATCTACCACACAATTAAAAATATTTTTATTCATATACGAAACTATCTCTAGGATTTGCATTAGCTTTTGCGTTTATAGAAATTTGAAAAAGCTTGCGGTTTCGGAAATCAGCGTCAAAAATTCAAATTTTACGAATTTCAAAAGGCGATAAGTTGAGAAGGGTGAAGATAAAAAAAAATTTCTTCTAACGAAATAAACCATTTGCTAGTATCTAAAAGCTGCTAAAATTTCAGGCTCCTACAACCTGGGGTCTAAAAGTAAAACGACATAAAAAATTCGGACAAAATGGATTTTATATAACGGCCAAAAAAGGCCATTTTTACGGTTTTGGGGGGGTATAACTTTTAGAGGGGGAGAGATAGGTAAAAATTTTGTTCTACGGAAATAAGTTTCTGGTAAAGATCTATGTACCTATGAAATTTCAGCTTTCTATCTTCAAGGGTGTAGAATTTTTGTAAACAAAAAAAGTGTCCACGAACGGACGGACGGAAAAATAAATTTCAACAAAGAATTTCTAACTCAAAAAATTTTAAATTTGTTCTCTGATATTTCAGCTTGGCATCTCAAAAATGTTTTGTATTACCACTTAAAATTATAAATGTTTTGTTTTGTACACGAATTTGTTTAACACTTAATCAATTTTTCACACTGGGTATGAAAAGAAAATTTACAATATCAATATAAAGTGCATTGCCCTGTAACATTAACTCTAATCCTTGTTACCAAATTGTGAGCATTTACCAAAATATGAGCCTATATATGGACCTTTGATTTTTAGTCTTTATATGCAAAAAAAAATGTTTGCAACCCTATACTTTGGTTTTAATATTTAAAGAAAATTTATTAATTTAATTTTTCATTTAATAATTTGCTTCACCAATCTTATCTTCGTTAATCTTTAAACATATTTAGTAATTCAATTTTGTAGCAACACAATTTTAACCAAATTCTTTTGAAACCAAGTACTCAAAATCTAATTAAATTGTTAATTAAAAAATTAGTATGAAAATCACTTAAAAAAATATTAAAAAAATATTATTAAAATAATTCCAAGAATGCTTGATGCAAAATTTTATTTCTTTATCCTTCCGAATTTCTCTTATTTAATTAAAACAATCTAAATTTTAGCAAACATGCAATTTCTATTTTCATATTATTATCATTATTGTAATAAAATTAACATTTTTTTATCTTATCATTTTTTTATCTTTTATTCAACAAATTTTAATAATTTATTCAATCAATTAATTTTAACCCATAAATTCATAACGTTTAATATAAAATATAATTTGATGTTATCAAATCCGGAAAAAGAAAACACAAATTTGCCATAATTATACAGAATAAAAATGTTGTTTAATTAAAATTTTAAAATGCAATTTAATAATGTAAATATCTATAGCGATTCGAATTATTTGCATATATATTTGCTTGCCGTATACGTATCCATTTAAAAGTATAAAAAATTGTTCCTGGTCTCTATAACAGGTACGTATATAACACATAAGAAGACTATAATAAATTATTTTTTATTAATATCGTAGACTATAGAGGAGCCCACAATATATGTAAGCCATATTACTCGTATATACTGACTGTACTTTAATTTATTACAAACATTATAATTTTTTCATTATGAACACTATTTTATCTTATATATTAGTTTACATTTTAAGTCATAAATTCATTGTAAACTACTGTTATTACGTATGTATACATGGAAAAAATAAAATGGAAGAATAAATTCATTGTTAGTTAATGTCCTGTTTTTTTTTAATATATATTTTCTTTTTTTTTTACCAAAGTCATGTTCTATAACCGATTTGTACAAATTTAAGTATGAATATTTATGTTAGATTGTATACAGGGTATTCGATTTTCTTAGTTTATTGCTATACCGTTGCATAGAGTCTTATGTGAGTATGAAAATATTTTTATAATGGCGATGTTGGCAGACAACTCAATAGATTCCGAATTACTAAAGCTTAAAATAAATTTTTGATTTTTCTTTTATTATTCGATGAATATCTTAGTATAAATTCGTTTGTTTATATAAATACAGTTGCTGCTGAATATGATTTCGAAATCTTAGATTTAGGGCTTTCTTATTATTATATACACTGGCCATTATTTCTTTTTTTTTTAACTAATTTAAATTAAATAATCAGAAATATATTAATACAATATTTCAATTTTCAATTTTTAAGGATTTGTTAATTTTTTAAGTCATGTAATAATGCAATTAGCTCCCTTTAACTTTCCGGAATATCCGGCATCATTGCAATTTATAAAATTTTGAAAAAGATTGTCATTCAGAATTATGAAATTTTTCTTATTTTAGAGCCAAATGGTTCTAAAATTTGAACAAATTTCTAACTGGTATTGATACCAGACCCTAATTCTGAATTTTTAAAATCATATCCAATGACTATCTTAAACAGAAAATAAACTATACTGAAAATTGTAGAAAAATTAAAAAAAAATTATAGTTGGAATTATTTTTGAGACTGTATATCCTTCGAAGAAGTAGCAGTTAACTCGTAGTTTCTACTAGAAGTAGAAAACAAATACCCTGTATGTAAATACATACATATGTGTATATATGTATGTGGTAAGTATACATGTGTACATTATTTTAATTTTTCCAATAAAAATTATTTAAAAATATAACTTTTTTTTTAACATATTTTATTTATTTTATTAATTTGACAAATGAAAGTCCAGTCATGTTAATCAACTATATATGACATAAGTATTGTATAAAAAATATCTTGTAGTCATACATACATCCAAACATATACAAGTACACATAAATATTAGCATACAATAAAGGGACCACGTATATAATAAAGTCAACAAAATTAAAAGAACAACACTATACAAATAACGATTGTGTGCATATAAAATAAATAATAAAAAATAAAAGAAAATAAAAAATAAAGTACAATTTTTTTCTTTATTAAAATTATTATAAAAAAAGCAAAGTAAAAATAAAAAAAAAATTAAATAAATATTATTAATTCTCATAAAATTTATATAATATTAAGATTTTATTGAGAGCCCAAGTGTAAATTGAGCCTCCTACACCTTGTGAGTGTTACTGTTATAAAAAAGAATAAGAGGCCACAAAAGTTTAATTATTAAAAGAGTTTTTCGTATCATATTAGACCTTTTCATAAACGCAGTATATTGCGATAATAGCGAAATTCGCACTATATTTGTGTTAATAGACAAATGTTGCTAACCTAATTTGTTCAAGAGCATGAGTAATTTATAAAATAGCGAGATTAGTATGAGCAGTATGATTATTAGTATATTGCATATCTATATCTGTAATATTTTAGTTGTATATTCTAAAAGTAAAAATAACTAATATTCAAAAAGAGTATTAAAAATTATAAAATCCAAAAATTTTGAGTTAAGAAACTAGCTGAATAATTTAACTCAAATTCATAAATTACCCATTAAAGGGTAAACATTAATTATGCATTAACAATTCTATTAGAGCAATTTTTGTACAAAAATTTGTTGGTTTTTAAATACTTATTCCTAAGTTAATCAAATATCATAAAGATCATATAGCAAAGACATATTAACCCAAAATATAAACAAGAATAGTATTTGCAATATTTAAAACCAAATCTATGCAAAAGATTTTATACTACAAAGGATAAAAAGGACGTACTTAATAAATTTTTTTAAATATATTTATTTTGATTTTCTTTCTATTTGTAAAAATGTCGGCAATCTTAGACTTGCATTTAATTTTAAATTATTTGAATACAATTGAAATGATCAGAATATTATAAATCACATATTAGTACCAATTCCTCAATTCCTACTGAGCCAGTTAGTGTCAATTAGTTTGAATATCCTACTAAGCATATGCAATGTGTATCAACTAAATTTTTATGCTCACACGAACGAATGTTCTGTCCATCCGTTGGTGGTGTGTTCGTTTTAAAAAATTTTAAATGCGATATATTTTGAAATCCACTAAACAAAATTTCACCAATTTCTAATTGTAATAAATAATATTGTTCTATCAAAAAAGACAATAGTCAAACTTTCAACGAATGGGTTTAGTTACTGGACAATCATTAGAATTAATATTTTCATTGATAAATAATTTATTTCAAGTAAAAATTTGATTTAGGTTCAACTAAAAATTTCCTTTTGTTGAGCTTTAATCAAAAATATTCTAAACTTAAGATTGAAAAAAAAAGATATGCATATATATGATAAATATACAGTAATATGCTTCGAGAAAATCGAAAACAGACGGCAAATTAATACCCAATGGATTATTATTTTAAGGGACCTAAATCCAACTTATACTGCATGACCAATTAATAAATAAAAAAAATGTATCACAAAATCTATAAACTTGTATTTTCGTTGTTTTTACTAATAAAAACCCCAATATATACATTTTAATAAATAAACCCTTCCCCCAAGAGACCTATAATAATTATAAAAATTATAAATGATGTAAAGAATGAATAAATAAAATAAAAAAGGTTTAGTTTAGATTTAACTTTGTTTCATTGCACATATATAAAATTTTAGGTGTATTTAGACAAAAGTGAAATTCCCGTTATTTTTAAGGATACTACCAAATACCATTACCATTTTTAAAATTAAAAGCTATTATGAAGAAACGTTTTAAATTGACAAAATCAAAAAATAATTCGAAAATTTTCCAAATATTTTATAACCATAATTAAGCACAAATTTATTTATTATAAAATAATAATCAAACTTAGTAGCTTTTTTTTTTCAAATTAATTTAATTTTAAAGAGCACAAAATTCTAATTTGTTAACATTAAAAATAATTTAAATAAAATTTTCATATAGTTTGCATTAGCAACGTTTAAAAACGAGTTTTTTTACATATATTTATTTGGGATTTGGGATTTAATTAACATACATATATACAAATTTAATTTCATTTAAATAAAAATGGCTACTGGTTTTGAATTGATTTTAGCAGCCATTTGTTTAAATAGTACAGCATGTATGCAAGGGATACCATTACAAAATAATTCCGATACTATGCAATTTTCAATGATTTCACAAAATGGAAATTCATCATTTATTAATATTTTAGATGAAAAAAAAACAGAAATGGCAAAACAAAATCGATTAAAAGAAATGCAAAATTGGTTAAATGGAAGAAAATTAAGAATAGCTACAATTGATGATTTCCCATTAAGTTATACTGAAAAAAAAAATGGTGAAATTGTTGGTAAAGGTGTTTCATTTGCATTAGTTGATTTTTTAGCTAAAAAATATAATTTTACATATGATGTTATTAAACCGGATAATGATATTATTGGTTCATCATATGATATGGATAAAAGTTTAATTGAATTATTAAATCAAAGTCGTGCTGATATGGCTGCTGCTTTTATACCATTATTAAGTCTGATACGTCAACATGTTGCATATTCAGAAACAACATTAGATGAAGGTGAATGGATTATGATAATGCAACGTCCACCTGATTCAGCATCTGGTTCTGGTCTATTAGCACCATTTACATTTGATGTATGGATATTAATTATGATATCTTTATTGGCTGTTGGACCAATTATATATGGTTTAATAATGTTACGTAATAAATTAACAAAAGATGATTCACAATATCCATATTCATTGGGACATTGTGTATGGTTTGTTTATGGGGCATTAATGAAACAAGGAAGTACATTGTCACCAATAGCAGGTATCTACATACATATATATATGTACATATAATACATAAAATCTGAAGAAATTTTAAATTTTAATATTCTAATTTTAATTATGGTTCAATTATTCTTAATATTTTAATATGTATTTTTTAATTATAAAAAATTTAAATTTTTCAGATTCTACAAGATTACTTTTTGCAACATGGTGGATTTTTATAACAATTTTAACATCATTTTATACAGCAAATTTAACAGCTTTTTTAACATTATCAAAATTTGTTTTACCATTTAATGAGGTTGATGATGTTTTAAAAGCACAAAAAAATTTTGTTGCATCACGTGGAAGAGGTCTGGAATATGCTATAAAAACGGTAAGAATTGAATTATAATTGAAAGATTTTAGTAAATTGCAAAATTAGTTGAGAATAAAATAATTCTAGTTTGGTCTAGAACTTAAATACAAAATATCAAAAAGTAACCACTAATTAATCCAGATTCTAGATAAATTATTATTAACAGGTTTAGAAATGTTACTGTCTCTTATTGTATGGACACTGATTTTCTATGTTTTTAAATCAATTTTGAGAACTTTTTTTGTTCCACTGTTATAAGTCGCTCTCATTTTTTGTATTTAGTATACACGTTCCCTAAACTCTTTACTTTCTTATATATAGCAAATTAAATAATTGTAACTCAATGATTCATTCATATCTTAAGATTGTTTTCGTGATGACTCTATCATATTAAATAATTTTTTGTGATGTTTTCTCTGATATATAAACTGATATATAAACTAATTTCCACTAACCTCAGCTAACTATTCCCCGCTTTGTGCCCTAGTTTAAAATAACAAGGATTTGTCTTAAAAGTCTTTTAGACACTCTTATGCTTTCTGTGCAATTCTAATTTTGTAATGTTCCTAATGTTTGTAGACTTAAAAATTTTAAGTCTACAATTTATCGCATTTTAAATTTTCATTAGTTATTAATAAATTTTTAATTTTTATTATAGCTATTTAGTGTATTGAAAATTTTCTTCCAAAAATAATTTATTGAAAATTGTGTATTTTCGTTTTCAATCGTCATTGTTTTCTTTTCGTTTTTCTTAAGTCATTATACATTTTCACTTTCACATATATTGAAATGATTTTAATATTTAATAAATAATTAATACTTTCTACTTTATTCTCACCCCCATATGTACACGACATACCTATACCTTCATTGAATCATAAAATAATTTCCCGAAAAATCAAAAAAAAAAAAGAAAAAAAACACATTTTTGTCATGATGTTTTAATAAACAGCGAAAAATATCAATTAATTTAATTTCTAACCATGTAAATGATTAATGATTGTAATATATGAAAGGTATAACAACAGTATTAACAGCCTGACAAAATAACTTTACGCCAAACCAATGGTTTGTAAAGTAGCACTTTTCCCTTGTACAATTAAACAAGCTTTTTTAAAAAACAGACTGTTATAGCTATTTAAATTACTGTAATTAAAATACAAAAATATTTAAAATTATTGCATACATTTGGGATAAGAATGAAAAAAACCTCAAGATAATGGGCTGAGATCAGTAGTTATTTTTTTTTATGGCATGGCGTTTAACTTTTTGCGTTTAAACGAATTCGGAAAAATTACAATTTCAGAAATTCAAATTTTACAAATTACTGGAGTTGTGAGACAACGATAAGTTGGAAGAAAATGGTGTCAATCGAAAATTTAAAAAATAATTTTAATCAATGTGATATAATTAACCATGTTGTTTTGCCAGAAGAAACCAGTTTCTACATTTCAGCGGAATTTGTTTGCAAAACTAAAAAAACGTTTATGATTTCGATATAATATTCAAAAAAGATGGAGGGAGATAAGTAAAAATTTTCTTTTACAAAGTTAATTTACTTTTAAAGATCTATTTGTATGAAAAAAAGTAAAGATCTATTTGTATATCAGCATTCAATTTAAAGTGTGTAGTAATTTAAAGAGATGTTGAGTAAAAAGACACACGGACTGAGTAAAACTACTAAGTATTTGTTTTCCAATTTCGTTTTTGGAGAAGTGTTAACATTAATAAATGTGTAAATTTCCCGATTAGCTGAAAAAAAAATTTTTTAATTTTAGATACATACATATTTAAGTTTTAATTTCATCGATTTTTTAAAAAAAATAAAAGTAATTTAAATGAAAACGTTGAATCAAAAACAATTGCATATTTCAAGTAATTTCTTAAAAAATTTAGCAGAGCGAAAATCGTAAATTAAATTGCATACTTTGTCTCTTATCATCTTTGATATTCAAAAATGATAATAATTTCTTTAAAATCTAAGTAATTTTTCAATTAACTATACCGTATTTCTGAAACGCTTAAGTTAAAGTGTTTAACAATAAAAAATTCTATTATTGTTACCAGCTAAGCTAGGGCGTTACACTCCGGCATGAAATATTTAAAACACTATATACAAACGAAATTATATGAGTTTAAATGGTAGCTATTAAATGCAATCCCCAGAATCATTCATGCACAATGGGATATCATAGAGTTCAAATATTTAATCTTGTTTTAAAATATATTTATTATTTTTATGATTTAGAATAATATACTGACCACGAAATTCATCTGAATTGCCAATAATCCCACCCCATATATAAATATTAATTCTTTTTATATTTATACATAATATATAACCAATAACGTTATACCGGGAATATCAATACATATTTATTGTTGTTCTCACGAGTATATAAAGTTCTTGACAACTTTAACACATTGTTTATTTAATAGAATTGAAAAACACAGTAATAATTCGGAATAGTATTGTGTTGAAAATAAAATTGAATAGGTTATGTTAAATAATATATGAGTTTATATTAAAAATGTAAAACTTTGTAAGTATAATGTAGTTGTGCATATAAATGTATTCAATTTACTTTAATGCCATATTTTACTTTCCCCTTAAAATTACAATTAAATGATATTTTAAGATTATCTAATCAAACTAAATACACTGAAAACAATGAAAAAATTAAGAATTAATTCAATTAATTCATAATAAATTTATTTTATTAATTAGTTAATTAATGTTATAGCCATCAAATTGAATTGTTTTTTGGTTATGCCAAAAAAAAAAATACTATAAAAACCTATGTATGATAATTATAATTAAATCACTAAGTGACTTGTATACCGCGGGGGCAAAAATCTATATGGTCAATATCATAACTATCGCAAGTATATTATGTATGCAGTATATATGTATATATGTATAATATGTACATTCATAATATTCAGAAAGTTTCAATGTAGGGAAGGAACAAGTTTAAATATGTACTTCTTCTGAAAAAATTTATTGATAATTTTGATTAATTTATTAATTTTAATTAATTAATTTAATTAATTTTAATTAATCAATTATAATTAAAATTAATACATTAGAAAAACTGAAAATTAAAATATAAAAGAAAACTGTTATACTGGCTTATTTATTCGAACGCCAAAATTCAAAGAACATGATTTGTATTGAGCTAAGATTAAGTTTATTACAAAACTGCGGATAATAATTTTTAACAATTCATCCAATTAATTTTATAGATAAATGATGTATATTAATAAATATAATAATAAAACATTCAGTAAAAAGATCTAAAACCTCTAAATATTTGCAAGATAATTTGCAAGAGTTTCTCGAATCATATACATATACATATGTATGTATATACATCAATGTTTAAAAGTTTCGAAACATAAAATATGGCTGACACTTCAATATATAAAAATTTTATACCTGTACGAACTTTTGTTCAAGGAGTATTATACTCTTTGCCATTTACATTTTAAATGCTAAGATCAGTCTGAGGACACACAAATATATTCGGGCTCAGCATCGAATCCAGAGCCGATTCAGCTATATGCTAATGTATGCACAATTCCGTCATCTGTCACACAACTCCCAAAATTTTTGAATCATATTTAGCAAATATTAAAATCAATATCATTGATTCGCAAAAACATCACAGAGTTGACTTTATCTTTTCAGTTATTTTTTTATAATTGTTTTTAAAATCTTTTTGTATTTTAAATTTTTATTTTTTTTTTCTAAAATAAAACAGGAAAATGAAATTCTTTCTAAATTGAATACAATGGTTCAAAAAAACAAAGTTGAATTTGTTAACACAAGCGATACAACAATTTTAAGAACATTCGTCGAACAAAAATCTTTTCTATATATAAGAGATCGACCTGCAACTGATCATATGTTATATAACGATTATAAATTCAGAAAAACAATTGACATAAAAGAGGAAAAAATTCATTGTCCTTTTGCAAAGGCAAAAAATCCATTTATGACAAAGAAACGAGCGTTTGCATATCCTTTAAACAGCAATTTAAGTTTAATATTTGATCCAGAGTAAGTTCGTTTTATACATAATACATTTTTAGAAAAAAAATAACCTTCTAACGATTACATTTTTGTAATTTTATTTATAAATTAGATTATTAAATCTTGTTGAATCTGGAATTGTAAAACATTTAAGTGCAGAAAATTTACCAAATGCTGAAATTTGCCCACAAAATTTAGCCAGTACAGAACGTCAATTACGAAATGGTAAAATAATGATGCAAATTAAAAATTTAAACATACGTTAATTCTAAAAAAAAAAAATATTTCAATAATTTATTTTAGGTGATCTAATGATGACTTACTATATTATGCTAGCTGGTTTTGCAACAGCAATTGTTGTATTTTTCACAGAATTAATATTCCGTTGCTTAAATGCACGACGGGAACGTTTCCAAGATGAAGAATTTCTTCGACGTGGCAATGTTAAAAATATTGCATGGAATAAAAATCGTAATGGTATACAAACATTATCAAATAATAATATAACACCACCGCCACCATATACAAGTATATATAATCAAAGTCGACAATTGATGCAAAATTTAAATAGAATCAATGAAATTGATCCAGAAAAGCCAGCTGTTAAAAAATTAATAAATGGTCGAGATTATATTGTATATCGGAATATTAAAGGTGAAAATCAATTAATACCATTAAGAGCACCATCAGCAACGCTGTTCCAGTATAGTTATGTAGATTAAAATTTGTATAAATTATATAAAATAAAAATCAATATTATATTTACTGTTAATTATAATTTTAGATTTATGTACTATGTGTTATATTATAAATTACAAAAATTTTTATTTAAGTTGAAATTTTTTTTAAATTTTACAAAATTGCAATTTGACTTGGAATTAAAAAATTCAACTATTTTACTTAACACTATTAACAAAAAGAAAACACTTTTTTTTGCACTTAAAATTAAGAATATAGAAAATGTTTTAGAGTAATAATTGTTGCATTTTTGTAATATATAAAATCAGGTAATTATGATAATCAAAATAATTCAATAGTATTAATACATATTCTTATTTAAAAATAGTTTTCATACATAAATGCACTTTCTGCAAAAAAATCCTTTTTCGATATTACATTGCTTTGTAAATCAACCTTAAATTGCACTAAGTCATCTTGTGTAAGATTTGCATCATACTTTCAAAACTAATGGTATACTCGTCCTTATTTGGCCATCGTATGTAGTTATAAGGAAATATTCTTTTTGGAATTTAGTTTTGTATTAGTATTCTAAAAAGCAAGCATTGTAAACTATTCTATAATGGAATCATAATATAAAAATTTTAGGCTCTGCTTCTAGAAATTGCAATTTTAGCTCAATGTTTATAAATTGCTAAATAAGACATTTTGACTGTACTTATGTACGTTGATATTATAAAAACTGTAGAATAGCAATTATTATTTGGTACATAATTCATTAATTTAAATGGATAGCATAATAAAGATTTATTGCAAGATTATATTATACAAATAATGTTATAATCTTTGAATCTTTCATTATAAAGATGTGCAAAATGCAACAATTAAATCATATGGAAACTGATTTATCATTTTTTATTTAATTTAATATAAAATTTTTGCAAAGCACAATAATATTTATATATACAATATGTATGTTGACGATTGCAAAAGAGTTATAAATATATTTTTAATAAAAATTTTATCTGTTGTACATTGTATTAATGGATATTATTAAAATAATTCAAGATATATTTGAATTTAGTATAGCTCTGCAACAATACCAAAAAAACAGATAAGAAACAATATGGAAACAGATTTAGTTCTCTGGCCTATTTTTAGTTTTCCTTATAGCTGTGGGTCTCAAACATTTTTCAATACCTAATTCAATTTTAATTTACATAAAAACTTAACATATTTATGAATAATAAATAAAAAACCAATTTCTACCGATTATCTATTTTATTCTGTAAATTATGTTAAAAGTTGTTTTTTTCATTGTGAACAATATTTTACTTTAAATTTATTTATTAGTTAATAATACTTGCATCTAAAAAAAGGATAGTTCAACTTCCTTTAAAATTTAAACACCGTTCAAATTATGGTTTACAAATTATTCGCATTCTAGTGTATGTGTAGTGAAAACAGTAAAATAAAAAAAACAGTGAAGACCTTTTTCTACGATCAAATTAGCCTTCGGTTGGATATAGCACCATCATTCTCATATAGTTATGATACACTTTCCCCAGATAATGGTAATGTTGTTGTTGTGGCCGTGCTTTCGTGCAATTTCGGTGTGTGTAATAACTCTGCATATTGTAATAGTGTTTCTCTTAATGCCCTGGATACTTCTTGAGACGTTGTAACCGTACAATCAACTAAGAATGGATATAATGCAATTATCTGATTCCAAGCAGTTTTGTTTACTTTACTTGGTGGAGATTTTTTCATTGATGAAATTAATGTTTCAATAGCTTTTAAAACAAATGAAATTTCTGAAAGTCTATAACGCGGTAAAGGGCATTTCCCACTATGACGCTCATCATCATTGTAACGTTTTAACACCTCTTGAAATCTATGAAGTAGGGCAGTTATAGCTAAACGACCTGCAAAATCTTCTTTTGCATTAACACAATTATTACTATTATTTGTATTGCCATTGATGTTTTCATTAAAATTATTATTATTACTAGAATCAATCAATAATGAGAATTGCAATAGTGTTTCGAAACAAGTTTTTGCAAATAATTCTCTTAACTTCCAATCAGATTCGCAGCATAATGAAGTCTCAGCGGCGGAATGTATAGAACCTTTATTTAAAATTACGACAATTTTTATTATAAATTGATGGGGTATTTCATGAGAATATGGTAAAATCTCTTCTCGTATTAATTCGATGACTTGGCAATCTATGGTTTCATCCAAAACAATTTCTTCTAGTCCCCGATCTTCTATTGTGCAAACACTTGTTGGAAATAAAAATTTGTCAAATGTTTCGGCTAAAACATTCCACATTTCAGTAAAATCATTTGGACGAGTTCGTGCTACCTTTAAACCAGTTTGCAATACTTCAAATAAACTTGAAATAGCTAACTTCCACGTACTTGATGACAAACAGTTATATTTTAGGGCGAGTGGAATTTTCAATGCTTGAATAATATTCTCTAAAATATGTTCTTTAATAACATCTTCATCAGTTGCAGTTTTTTTGTATAATTTTACAGCTAATGTGAAAGCTTTTTCTCCAAAAGGAATATAGTTTACACATGTTGTTTCAACGCTTGGAAAATTTGCATACCCAGAATGATCATTTCTTAATTTATTTTCCAATTGTGTTGGTTGAATACAGGATAATTTGCTAAATGATAATAGCTGTTTGAAGAGAGATGGTATTAAATAACGAATTTTTGAACCATCATTAGTTGCTTCCTTTTGAATCAAATCAATGGAATCCAGGACTGCATCGTGTAACGGAGTTAAAGCAGATTCAGATAAAGTGGTCATTATATACGGTACAGAATCACTTTGATATGGTATCTCTATGACATTTGTAAGCACGTTACTGAGGTTATTAAAATCATCAAAAGAGAACCGGGTTCGGATATTTTGGAAAATAGCTGGAAAAATTTGAATTAATGCTGTCAAAAAAGCTTGATTTGGTATATAAAATTCATTAGAATTTGCATTATGTTCTACGTATTGTACGCATTCTGTTCCGATATTTAACCAAGTTTTCCAAGACTCATTCCATATTTTTGCATCCAGTTCGCTTTTTATTTCAATCTTATTACTGCCTCTTTTATCACAAGTATAAAACATTATTTCTTGAAAGGATTTTAATGCTGCTAATGATACCTCATCAATTCTGTTTAAAGCTGCATTTTGAATAAATTCTAACATTAAGGACCAGGCTCGGGAAAAATCCCCCAACATTTGTAAAAGATTTTTTTGTGCATTGAAAACTCGTGATACTCCAGATAAAATTAAAACATGAGTTTCAGCCCATTGCTTTTGAGCTGTATTTCTAGAATGATGGATTAAAATATTTCCACTTGTGTCCACTTTTTCATTACTAGCTGTACTAGATAAACTTCGTACTTTATCAAGTAAAGGAAACAACACACTCCAAACAAGAGCTTGCCATGTTTGCGAGCTTAGTAAAGTTCCATGTGCAGAAATAGTAGAAAATAAAGTCTGGCCAGCAGATTTTCGGACAGCAGGCCTAGAATCAACACATAAGTCTCCAATTCTGGCATATAAACACATCCATAATTTATCAAATTGCGGAATATTAACGATTCCTGGGAAATCTGGTAAGACATAAATTTCTCCAACTTCAGCCTGAATTAACTTTTCCTGATTTTGATTGAAATAATCTGAAATATTCCACATTAATCCAATAGCTGTTAAAGAAATATTCAATTCCTGCGTTTGAGAGCCAAACCTTGATGCAGTGTTTATGCACAAAGGAAGACATCTCCATGGCATTATTGGTAAAAAATCTGTTATGACAAGTTGCAAACATTGGAACGCTGTTCTTATTAGTGGTTCGCCATGATGATCACTTACAGCCCCAATAATTTCTAAAATTACAGGCCAACCGAAAGATATTATTTCTCCAGAAGAATTCAAAATCTGCAAGACGCACTCTAATTGGCGTTGACGGACATCTCCATGAGGTACGCATGATAGTTGGCATAACGGGCTTAAAAGCATTGTTTGCAGTACCATGTTTTCTTTAAGAGGAGTTTGATATTGGTACTGCAAAGCAACTTTCAATAAGTATGTAATAGCTTCTACGCCCCATTCCCTCATTCTAATGTGTCTATGCTGACATACTTCCAATAAATGGTTTGTTAAAGATCTCCATATAGTCTCAATTCTAAACATATTGGCAAGCCCTATTTCTAATAATTTTGCTACCGCAAATAGGGACGGTTCTCTATTTGAATAAGCCAACTCCATTGCTTCACAACTTAGTTTACAGAGCGCATCTATCAAATGATGCAAAGCGACGTCGTCTAAATTCTTACTTGACTCGAATACTTCGCTTAGAAGTTGGGAAATTATAGGCAAATCTGCCATTACTGCTGTCTGAATCCCTATATTACTTTCAGCTGGTGGTTTTGTAATCTGTAAACCTCCACCGGTAGACAATTTTAAACCTAAAATACAAACCAAATTTTGCAAGGTTATGAGAACTATATGCCACGATGATCCCAAAATACTTCCATTATGATTAGCAAGGTTTAGAACCGCTTTCATGCACTGCAAATTTTTTGCACTTAACATAACTGGTCCTTGCGTTACACTTGCAGCCAAAAGAGCAGACTGCGAATGCGTGACGGAATTTTGAAGTTGATTACGGAAATCCGTTTCATTAAAATTATCATTTCCGTGTAAATTAATATCCATATTTTTAAATTTATTTGTACTATTATTATCATGATTAATTATGTTTACAATAGTGCTGCCATAACTAGGCGGAAACGCTGATCTACAAATTGCTGTAATAAAAGCGTCTCGAGCATCAAAAAGTTCTAACGCTCCGCAAAGTACTAAATAATCTTGCATAGCATTTAATATTCGGGAAATTGTCGATTCATCAGCTGCAGCATCTAAGAGACAAATAAAAGCTGACAATAACCCAGTCCAAGTAGATTTGATTAGCTGACAATTAAGCTCGAGGTCGCTATTAAGATCACTTTTAGATTTCTTGTCCGAACTGCTACTATTGTTATCTATAATTAAACGTATTGATCTCACAATATCGAGAACAGCTGCATATGTTAATGTTATTCCATAACCTTCTGCTACAGATGGCGGCTCAATTTTATCTAACATTTCTAAATAAGTTGCTTTGCACTTTCCTGGTGAATAAGGAAACAAGAGAGGTATCCAAATTCCACTAACAGAAAATCCGCATTGATTAGACAGATTTGTAGTAGATGAAATTGAATTTTGTGAACTTGTTTGTTGGTTGTTAAAAGCTGTTTGTATAAAATTTTTTAAGAGATCTCTTATAAATATGCTAAAAGACGTAACCATATCTTCTAGAATATTAGTTGCATGATCTTTCATATCATAAGATCTACAGAAACATGTAATTAATTTTGGCTGAACAATCATTTGATGTTCAACTTCTAGAGCTAACGCTCTTTGCCAATTTGGTTTGTCTAAGTCCAAAAACTTAACTATTAACGAGAGAAATATTTCACATTCTGTTACTAAAATGGAATGAAATTTCTGAACCAATATTGAAACTGCTCTCAATAATCTAACGCTCAAAGCAAAGTGCGGTTTATCAGCTGCAATTGTAGTATTATACATAGCACTAGTAGCTCGATGTTTTATATTTGGGGAAAATAATTTTATAATAAGAGCACAAACTTGTTCTTTTAACAAAATTGTAAATTTTGGTATTTCAAAAAAAATATTACTGTAGTTGTTTAATATGATTTCGACTAATTCAAGACCAAATGTTGTTGAAATTTCTTTTATGCCAAAAAGCCATACAGGTTGATCAGAATTTATTAACTTAATTAAATCTTGAAATAACAAAAATGCATCTGCAGTACAATTTTCAACCTCATTTTCTTCCCCTTTATTTTCAGTGGATTGGGTGTTTTCAATGTTTTGTTTAGGCAAATTTTTTATTGCTTGGGATGTTCTTTCAAATACTAAAGACACCAATTGTCTTATTGTGGCACCCGATATATTTGATACTGTAGGATTCTTTGAATAATATAATCGGAAACACAAAACCATAGATTTCGCAAGAGTTTCACCGTGAACCACAGAGTTTGTAGTTAAAAGTAACGTAACTGTTTGAATTAATTTTACTTCCTCAACATTATTTTCCATTAACATCCATAGAGCATCTGTTATATATAAAGCACCTTTTTGGTCAACTACTTGTTGGGTTATTAATCTTTGCATCATTCCCAAACAAAATCTTACAATTTTTATATCTTTAGTTTCACATCCTTGTATTAAGGGGTACAATATTTGATTAACCATATAATATATGGATGATTGTTGGTCATAAACAGAATTATTTAGCTTAACAATTGCTTCTTCGCAGGATTCTTTAATGTTCGGATACTTTTTTCTGGTTTCATAGGCCAAAGATTTAAAATCATTTTTTAATGTGTCTGCAAGAATCTTAATGTTGTCGTATTGATTTTCGCCTTTAGACGATAACATATTTATTATTCTTAACTACAACCGTAAATATATTATTTAATTTTTTCTTATTTTAATAAAGTACACTCGAATAAAAGATGTGTCATGTCAAATAAACTATCGAAATCATCAATAATTGTTTTTGTTGTTGCTTTTACTTCATAATTCCATTTTACCAAACGTCATCAATGTCATAACTGTCATTCACACGAATAATTAAAGCTAGTTTGTTAGCTAGATATATTCAGGGCTGATTTGCAATATTTTTTATGCAATATTTTATAATTAAATTAAATGGCTTTAACATTATTAACATTATGACTATATATCTAATTAAGTTTATATTTAATTTATAAATAATTTATGATTATGTTACTGTTATAGTTCTGAAGAAGCATCAAAGAAAGTAATAATTATTTAAAAATTCCTTCTCTTATTTATTGAGATCATTTAATTTCTCTAAAATTTTTATCAAATCAAAACAAACTTTGACGATAGATTTACTTTGACGATAGTTCTTTAAAAACAATTGAATTTATAATTTACAGAAGACTAAAGGTTTAAAATAGGGAATAATTATAAATAAAAAAAATTTTTATATAGTGTCAAAAAATTCTTCTTCGCGTGAGTCGATTTTTTATATTTAACATAATATTTGAAAGCTTGCAAGATTTTTTTTGATAGATGACATATTAAAATTCTTTGAAACTGACATATTCTTTAGTTGACAGTTGACATTTTGTCAAATGTGAAATGACAACTTTTCTTGAATATTAGTCACAAAATTTTAAAAAGGAAAATTAATATTTTATTGAAAGCTACATTTATTTTATGATTCTTTTTGATTTGAAAAGTATTAATTTGAAAAGAGATATTCAAATCAAGTGTGAAAACAAAGAAACAACAAAACAAGAAATTAGGCGTTGATGCAAACATGAGACTGTGTTGATTTGGTTTAGCAGCAGATAATTTTTAACATTGAAAATGTTTTCATTAATTCTTTCCTTTGCTATTTTACTTCCTTATTGTATTTGTAACGACATCACAAATCAAGTCTTTGGAAAAAGTATAGAAGGTATAATAGCTGCTTTTGGGGATTTTAATTCTGATGAGTAAGTAAACATGATTTTGAAAGGCAAACCTCAGACAAAAATATATGTAATTTGCAATTTCAGACTTACTGATGTATTCATTTTGAAAAACAATGCCAAAACTGTGGAAATATTGCTAGGTAAGAAAATATTCCAAAATTATTGTCAATTTATTAAATATTAAAAAAAATTCAAAAAATTCAAGGCCATGATACAGAACCACTCCTGAGAGCTGGTTATAATTGTACATTTGAAAACCGTGAAATAACCAGTGTAATACCGGGAGATTTCGATGGTGATGCTTTGATGGATGTAATGGTCACGCTTAAGTCGGCAAGAAAAGATTCCCTCGATGTTTTGGTGAATTGGGGTGGAACTGATCACCTAAACTGCACTTCAGAAATTTTGTTAAATACCATAGGAGAACCATTGGTAATAGATTTCAATGGAGATATGATATTAGATTTGTACGGAGAAAATGACAAAGGTGAACGCTGTTTCTGGGTGTTTTCGGATGATAGACAAAAACCACAAATGATCATTCAAACAGATCCCAATACCAAGAATTTCAAAAATTCTAGTTTAACAAATAGAACCCCTTCATTAGCTAGACTTCAAATTCCACATGCAAATGCGTTCTTAGACCTAAATAAGGATTATATGGCTGATCTGTTTGTACAAACTGTAGATCATTTTGAAATATGGACAGGACGCACCAATGAATTGGAAGATTTTGACTACCATAAAAAGATTGAGTTGAAACTTGTTGGAAATGATGATTATATTTTAGGGCAGTCACTGTTTTTGGATATGGAACTAAAAGGAGACCAAAACTTGGTACTACCTGTATGTTTTGATAAAATGTGTAAAAATTCTACTATATTAGTGTATGAAAATGACCACTTCTGGGATTTACATGTGAACTTTAAAGATACACAAGGAAATATTTGGGGATTTATTCCAAGAAGCGACGATAATCCTTATTCAAAAGTTATTACTGCGAGAAGTGGAGATTTTAATATGGACGGTTATCCTGACCTGCTAGTTACTTTACAGACATTATCAAATGAAAAAAGATTTCAAACATTTTTACTAGAAAATGTTCATTGCAAGGTTAGTTTAAAAGAAAATTCTTTTTTCACATCTGACGATATATTTATTTCCTCCAAAAAAATAGGTCTGCAACAAACCTTTAAAAAGGACTTTTGAAATACAATGGTATGCAATACCTTTAGGAAATAATACCATTGCTGGAACATTTTACGATTTTTACCAGGATGGCGTCTTAGATGTTATTTTGATTGAAAAGAAAGGACACACATACCGACCCTTAGCATTTAGAAATACGTTGGACTATGATGCCAATTTCGTTAAAGTTATAGTTCTCACCGGGTTAATGAACAAAAATAATTCTACAGCTATCACACCTTTAGGAAGGAAAAAACGAACATATGGTACTAATCTACCAGGTCCTAGAATAGAATATTACACTATTACTCAAGAAGGTGATAATCAGCACGGTGCAAGCTCTCAATTACCTCAATCAGCATATTTTGCTCTTCAACTTCCATATACTATATTCGGTTTAGGAAGAACACCAAATTTCGTTGATTCATTAACTGTAGGATTAAATAATAATTCCCGAACTTGGACACAGCTAATTCCTAATTCACAAATGATTGTTATTCCAAGACCAATACGAGATCCTGGTCAATGGAAAGCGCAGTTATTTGTTACACCAAGCAAATTAATTTTAATGAGTGTTGTAGCCTTAGGTGGCACTTGCTTAGTGATTATGATCATTATATTAGGATTATATATCAAAGAAAAACGTGAAGACAAGAAAGAAAAATTAATGGAAGCAAATCGATTCCATTTCGATGCTATGTGAATTAGTTCAAATTTGATGGTATTTAAAATTCACGACATTTTTCCTTTTTTATTTTAATTTAAATGTGATTTTATTTTTATTATAATATTTAATATTATCATATAACTTTAGTTTTAATAAAAATAAATGTTAAAAAAACTTATTGAAAATTATTTTATTCATTGAATATTTAAAGAGCAATTTGTTCACATGAATGTATAAATTATGTACATTAAGGAATGAACATAATTTAAATTAATATATTTTTTTTAAATATTTTGATTAATTCTTATTTTGATATTATTTTTTATTGAACGTAATTCAAATTAGGAGTAAAGCAAAAAAGGATTTCGATGATTTTAGAAGTATATTCCAAATATTAAATATTATTATAATTTTAGTACTAAACAGGAGTTCCCATGATTTTAATAGGTGTGTAGCTTTCATAAGGTGACGATAATACAAAATAATAAAATCCAATTTTAACTTCATTTACTGCTTTTTCTATATTTCAGTACAGAAATTTGAAAAAGATGATACGACATAATACCTTGCTTAAAAATAAGGTTAACCTTGAATTTTCATGTTTCAAAAGGTTCCTGATTTTACGTATTTTAATTCACATTTAAATAATAGGAATAACATAAAGGAACCTCAAACTGAAATGAATAATTTCTGGATTTAACTGAAATAATGAAATAAACACGCATTTTAAACGCTCCGTCGAGACGAACTGCTTGCATACTCGTATTTTTAAATTTATTTTTTTATTGTTATTTTGTTCAAATATTTTTTGTCAATGACTTACTAAGTGCACTTTTAATTTATAGTTTTCTTTCTAAATCAATTAAAAATTTAAAAAAGTAAAAAAAATTTTGTTATTCAAATAGAAAAAAAATTGGTGTAGTTCGTCTTGATATTTACTTCTTACTCTACTTCATTGTAAATAAAAGTTATTACCAATAGATTCAATTATTAACACAAAAAATTGTATAGTGTGATAATGAAAAAATTGTATAAAAAAAAATATAAAAAAAATAATCGTTGCAAACAAATATATAATTACATAATATTATAATTTAACTTATTTTCTGGTAAAAACGCATAGGTAAAAAAAATTAATTCATACTTGACTAACAACAAGAATAAAGCAACCTGAATTCGAATCAGCGGCACGCAACACCTTAGTCATCGGCTAATTTCTACCATAATCCGTATTATGATGACGAATATGAAAAGTTCTTAATGCCTCAAACTAATCGAATTTTTCCTAACACCTGTTTTCACGAAAAAGCGAAACAAATTGGTGAATAAAAACTATATCAGTGATTAGAGCAAGCCCATAAATAATAGCCATTCGTTATATTGCAACAACCTGAGAGGATCAAATCAACCTAAATTACACAAGGCGAAAGATAACTAGCAATTAAATCCTAATAAAAAAAAATTTATTGAAAATTTTTTTAAAATTTTAATTTACTGAATTCGAAAGTAATTAGGAATAAGTACTTACAAACATATATAGATTTTTTTAATTTTAGTATCTCGTACTACATACTTATCTGCAATATATTTGGTTCAACAATACAAAAAAAAAATTAATTAAAATTTTTTGTATTTAATATTATTTTATAAATTAATTTTTGTAATCAAAATACGTAATATGTATTATTATATTTATTATTGATTATTGTATATTTATTATATTTACAAATATTTGTATGTACGTTACAATACTAAAACAAATTTTGTATTTTTTTAATTAAAACAAAAATTAAAGAAAAAACATCTAAAATTGAAAAAACGTACTATAACAAAAAATTTGAAATATATACATAATTATAATTATAAAATAATATGAATCTTTTATTAATATGAGAGTTAAAAGAAAAAATGTACTAATTATAATGAAAATATTGTACAAATTAAAAATTATATAATCATAAAGATTATTTAAATAAAATAATTTAAGTTTTAAAAAACAAATTACCTGTATACATATGTACACATATAATATTAATTATTTTAATATATTGTATGTGTATGTTTATATCGTTAAGTAGCCTTCTTACACAAAACACGTCATGTTGGTGACTTTCCGATTTTTTTTTTGCCACGTCGAATAACAAATAATAAGTTAGAGAAAAAAGGATATCTTCGAACTTTTTTTGTTTTTTGGGCGAAAGTAATGAAGAACATGAAAAAATGGATTTTACATTAACTCGATCAAAATATATTTAAGTATATTTTCTCCATTTCCTTACATACTTTCGTTTCGGGACGCTATTTGTAACAAATAACAGTGAAATGCACATTTAGTAGAATTGCAAATCTGTCAAGTGACTCATGTTTATGTGCTACGCGTCTAGTAGAATAAGGCTTATCCAAGAATATAATAATATAATTTTCTTAAATAAGTAAAAAAAATTATGCATTTTTTTGTAATTAAATTTATTTATTTTTTTTTTTCTTTTTAATAAACATAAGTTTTTTTTTCTATTTTTCCTTTTTTTTTTTAAATTATGCGAACTATCCATATAATTATATAAACATATGTATATATACATATTTAGTATTTATTACAATTTATTCATCTTATTAACTAATTTTTTTTTATATTCTTACATTTATAGCTATGATTTATCTCTTCTTTTTTGGGTTTTGATAGAAACACCACATTCAATTTTTGAATTTTTAAAGGTTTGCGGGGACCGACCTTCTTTTTTCTTAATCCGAAAAGTGAAGAATAATAAAATTTTATATTCAAAAATGAGTTTTTTTTTCATTTTGATTCTATACAATTTAAAATTATAAAAAAAAATATTTTTTATATTTTCTAGTGTTATTATAATTTTGTTATTTTATATTCTTCATTAATTATTTACAAAATTTATAAAATACTTTTGCATGGTTTATTATGGTTTTCCTTTTATTTTAGAGTTTTCTTTATTTATTTTAAAATTATTATTAAATTATTTATAAGATTAAAACTTCAAAAGTAAACATTAAATGCTTGAATTTTTTTTTGTTCTTTTGTATTTAAATATTTTATAAAAAAAAATCGTAAAACATGATTAAAAACATTAAAAATATAAAATCGTAGTTTTCGTTTTACTATTTTTTTTTTATTTATTTTTTAATTTATTTTTTATTAGAAAAGAATTATTAATTAAAGTTTACGTTACAAAATCAAAACATTATGATCTTTTCAAATTAATCAAAATTACAAGAAAATTAAAGAATGATTATTAATTGGGCTTTATATAAGAAAAACTAGTTAAAAAAAACTTTAATGAGTTAAAGATTTTAAGATAATGATGTTTCTAAAATGTTATGAAAATGAAAAAAAAATTTAAACTCAATTTAAATTTAATTCAAATGCGAAGTTACACTTAGCAAGCACCCGTTTTCTCTTCCTCAGCGCATCAGATAAGAATATTGAGATTTTCTGTAAAGAGTTTCAAATATATTAATACAGAAAATTAAAGGAGTTTTACAGCAAATTAAAGGAGTTTTACAACAATAATTCCAAGTAATAGGCCTTTTAAAAACTATTAATTTAAATTTATATAAGTTCAACAAAAAGAGTAGTTTGGATTCAACAACAGTTCCAAAATAATTTAATTTCACAAAATTCAAGTGAACTTCTGAATGTAATTTTACTAATGAAGTCAAATTAGAAATTATAAAATTCTAATTGTATGAAGCGATACTGTAATCCAATGTACGTGTATTTCTTATTATCAAATATCGTTTTTTGTTCAAATTAATTTTTAATTAAATCAAAAACAATTATCACTCAATATAAAGTTGACAAAATTAAGGTATGTATAATATATATCGTTACATTGAATTACATAAGTAGGTTGACCCATATTTTTGAAAACGAAAAAGTTAATAATTTTAATTGTTTGTAAAGTTATTTGATTATTTATCTTAATGCATCTTAATGCATTTAAAATGTTTCAAATTTTAATTAAATAAATCAAGTTTAAACTCAACCATCTCATTATCTCAAATGATGCATCGAAGGGAGAATGTGGGTAAAGAATTTATTAAAATTATTTTATAAAGAATTATTTAATAAAAATGTAAGCTAAGGCCAACGAAATTTTAAATATTAATTCATGTATCTGCTATTTGTAATTGATTGGTTTTATTTTTTTTTCAAAATAGGATAGAATTTCTTTAAATAAATAAGTTTTGAATTATTTTCTGGTGGATAAATTTATTTTTCATTTAATTTTTTTTAGGAAAACTTATATTTAAACACTTAAATTATACGAAACTTTGAAATTATTTAGAAATAGAATAGTAAAATTATTCATTAATTAAAAAAAATGTTTATCTAACAGTACCTAAGTTTTTACAAATGAAACTAAATTTCAAAATAGATTTATAAAATAAACCATTTTATTAGAATAAAGTTCCGAATAAATGAAAAGGTAAATGCAGATTTAAAAACAATAAAAAGACGTGTAATATCTGTACTTCATTTGCAAGATCAAAATAAAATTCTTTATATTATTTTTAATGTAGTTTAGGCTTTCATTGATTTTTTTTTAAATTAACACTATTGTTGGTTTTTATGTTTTTATGCATATATACCTATATATATACAGAATAATTCTTTTATTTTGTTTAATTTTTTTATTCAAAAAATATAATTTTATTTTTTTATTGAATAATTCGTTTTTTTTTTTTTATTTTTTACGATTTGAATATTTTTGTGTTACCACTCACTACTAATTTTTAACTTAAAAATAATTTACTAGTTTTAATTATATACATTTATTAAATAATATATATAATATATATAGATATACTTATCTTTATTATATACGCAACAATATAAAATATAATTTAATTATAAAAAATAAAAGAATATTATATACAAATAATTTTTGTTATTGTTTCGGTTTTTTTAAATTCCAAAATTAAATTATACATGAAGAAAAACAAATTTATATTTAGTAGTTCTTTTATAGTGTTTGATTTTTTATTTTTAAAGTTATTAACAACTTATTTGGATTTTATTCATAGTATTTTACTTTTTTTTTTCAAATTTTTTAATTTTTTTATAATATATTTTATTTTAAATTTGTACTCAATTTTTATATAATATATTTCAAAATTTTTATAAGATTTATATATACATATATATATATATGTATATACATATTCACACGAAAGTATATACACAAATAATCATTTAATATTAGCTATTAAATGATTTTTGATGTAATATATATATCACATAATTATATATGCATACTATGTAATTCCTATACTTATATGCAATTGAAAATTAAAATATTTTCTAACAATATTAATAACATAAAATTATTTACACATAAATTTTTCTGTACAAATACTTGTCCGTTTAAACCTAGGCCTTTTAACAAATCAATTTTTTTTCTCCTCTATAAATAAAATATTAAAAAAAATTAAATCGGTGATGATGTTATCTTACTTTATTACATAATTACATCGTTGAATCACTCAAATTTCATATTGTTTATTAAAAACTATTTTAAAATTAATTTTAACATTAATGACATACATAATGTATTACACTATACTTAATTGCAGCTACCACTAATTTAAAATTGTCTCTAAAATAAGAGTCCGAACTCCAGAAACACAAAATAAATCTATTATTTATAATAAATACGTAACTAAATTATTTTCTAATTACATTTACACTATTTTTATACATAGTTTATTTCTGTTATATAAGTATTATCTACAAATTAAAATTAACAAATTAATTTTAATTAAGTTTTTTTCTATTTTTACTTACTTTATTAGTTTTTTGTTTTTTTTTTTTTTTCGTGGTGTCAAAGAGTTCCCAATTATTATAATTCGATTTATATACAATTTTTTTAACAGTGTAATTTAATATTATAACATACTTATACAATCATTTTAAATTAGATATGAAATTGTTACTCAAAAAAAGGAATAAAAAATATATAAGCAATATTAGAAGAAATTGTAAATGGATTATGTAAATTAATAAATTTATTTATTAATTTTAAACAAAATTTACTTTAAAAAAACATTTTATTAAACTTTATTGAATTTAAATAATTCACTAATTTTAAATAATATAAGTGTAAAATTTTTAAATGTTCAAATTCTCAAGTTAGTTTATTATTTAGTTAGTTTATTTATTAACCAGTTATACTAACGAAAATTAAAAAATTAAAAAATATGCGCAAATATATTAAATATTTTAAATATAACATTATTATATTGCATAATTTTATTTTATCAGCCAAATACGTTAAATTTATTCATACAATTTTGGAACAATGTGGAAATATAATTTTTAGATTGACTCACAAATTTTATTAAGTTAAATATTCTAATGGTAAGTCCTCATCTAATGGTTTGTTATAACAAATCTTGTACTCATAATGGGGCACTTCAGAATTCAAAAATTTCTATGGTTTAAAAATTGATATATTTTTTCATAGATTTTATTTCAGATTATTTAAATTATTGGTACTAAAGTAATTATTATTAAAATGTAAATTTTGTTTGTCTATAATGATGGATTCCTATGAGTCCATTGGGTATAATGTAGTTGATTTTTTTTTTAAATATTTCCAACATTACGAAGTTTTTATTACGTTTTACTTACAAATTTTCGTAAAAATATATCAGAATTATGAATAAAAAATTAAGAATTCATTTGGAAAATTTTAAATTTAGGGCGTAGAGCGCATACACAACTTGTATTAATTTCAAATCATTATCAATGACTTGCAAATTTTCTATTACACTTTTTTTAAAAGAAAATTCAAAATTCAATTTTTTCTTCAAAATATATCATTTTATTTTTTTCTCATTAGATTATTTTATATTAAATAATATTTAGGAAATACCAAAAAATATAATGCATATTATATTTAAGCAATATTTTCATTATTTCAAGATAATAAAAAAAAATAAACAGGACCTTATTAACTACGTAGACCTAATAAATTATTATAACTATACTAACCCAAAAAAAAAAAAAAAAAAAAAAAAAACAAAAAAATGTATAATTATTTTTGAATTTTTTTTTATTTTTTTTTTCAATCAATTAATATTAACTACTACTATTGTAACAAAATTTCATTTTTTTTTCTTTTAATTTATACTTGCTCTTAAATTTATCAAATTCTTCTTTATCAAACGTCTTTTATATTACTATGAAATTATAAAATAATTTATTTCTATAATCTTTGTATTTTTAAGTTATTTTTATATTTACATGATAATTCATACACAAATTTTATATCTATTTCAAATTTAAATACCAATATACATTTTATATATTTATATGTTCATATACAAGATATAGATACATAAAAATAGTTTCAATTTTTATAATTTTAATTATTTTAAACATCTAAAAGTTATTTATTATACATCGAAATTAAAGTAAAAGCAATTCAGATTTAAAAAAAAAGAAATGAATTAACTTTTAAAATTAAACTTGACTTGTAAATTTTGTATTAAAGCATGAAAATTTAATACTAGTCTAATTAATGTAAAACAAAATACAGTATGTTTATTAAAAAAAAAAACAAGTGTTGCTTGATGATATCTTGGAGTACCATTTTTCATTTAAAAATTTAAATTATTTTTACTTTTACGATTAAAAATATTGAAATAAATAGCAATCATTATTATTTGTGCTTAAACTTTTCAAATTTTTTGACGAATTACTGTACAAATTTATTTCAAATTATTTAAATCGCGCGCTATTCTTAAATATAAAAAAAATTATATAACATACAATTAGAGTTTATCATATTTTAGTTAAACATATTGTGAAAAAAAATGTATTTAAAGAAAAATAGAGAAAACTTTAAATATTAATGTATTTACAATGGTATTATTTATAGTTTCTTTTTTTAATTCTTTCTTTCCGTTTAATAAGCTAATCATATTATATAAAAAATAGAGATTATTACTTTTCAAAATTATGACATTATAGTTTTTATTAAGAAAACACTATTATAAATTTCCGTTAAAATATATTAATGTTTCCTTTCTTCTAGTCCATAAATTTATATAATCCTAAAATTGAAATTTCATTTGTTATTTATTCAAAATATAATTAGTCATTTCTTTTGAAATTTTTATTCTAATTTTATTTAATAACTTGTAAAGTACGGATATTCCCAGATTAATTTGAAGAAGTCATTTTATTTTTATTGATAAAATCTTTACTTTTGTGATCATTATTACTTTTTGCACTGTCAACAATTTCATTTTCTAGTATTTGTTTGTTTGTACTTAAAATATTATTATTATTATTTTTATTATCATCTTCACAATCTTGTATTGACAGTTTACGATTTCGATGTAAAAGTTTTGATTTTTTCTGTTCTAATTTATCAACTGTCACATTTAATGAATCTTTTAAATCACCACTAATATTATTATCATCCTGGTTTGCTCCTGTAATAGACGATGGTGATGATGGCGTTGATGTTACTGATGATGGAGGAGAAGAACTCGGTGATAATGAATCATTTGTGCTGTCATTAAAACTAGAAAATGATGATCTTATCGATGTACAATGATCTATAATTAAAATGTGAAAAAAAAAAATTAATAATTTCAATTGATCCTTCTTTTATATATAGATTTTAAAAATTTGAACAAAAATTATAGAAAGAAATTAAATAGTGTGTAGATGAGTATTTAAATATTTTGCAGGAAAATCTAAGTTTTTAATACATATTGTTTAATTCACTAAATTTATACCCAAATAGTATATTTAAATTAATTTATTTTAAGCAAACAGAGTTAAAATCGCTCTTCAGTAACTGAATTAAAATTTTTAAGTTTACTTTATATATTTTTTAAATACTTTATTAATAATAATACAAAAATAGAAGCAATTTATTTATAATTTACTAGACGTATAGCAAATGTTTAATAAGATTAAAATTATTATTCTTACCTAATTTTGTTTTTTTATTTATTTCTTTATTATTGTTAATTAAATTTTTATTAGTAACTAATGACGACGTATCAGTTGATGACATTGTCGATATTGTTCTTGCGTTACCATCGATAGGATTAATAACAGAATTTGTAATTAAATCAGAATCAGTAGTAGTGGACGTAGCAGTAGTAACTAAAGTATTTGTAAAAGCATCATTTCCTCCACCATCTCCTCCAATAACAACAATATTGTTATTATTATTAATTGAAGTTGATGTTGAAAGTGTTGCTGGAGTCACATTACCGGCTAAATTTTTCTGTTGTTTCAAAGTTTTCAAACGTTCACATAAAATCTCTTGTTGTTTTTCAAGTAATGTTGGAGCAGGACTAAATTGAACTACTCATTTTTGATTTTTTTTTTAATTGAAATTTGTCAATTCATATTAACATATTTGAATTTTTGTTTATTTTTTTAGAATTAACCCAAGAAGCAGGCACACACATTTGAAAAAACAGCACAAAATTCAAGAAAATGAAAAAAAAAAATAAAAATAATGAAATAAGTTAGACACAAAAATTTATGAAAAACGTACAAAATTATATGAAAATGAAAATATGTCTATTAAATTAAATACAATTTAAAACATAATGCAATTCTTTTGAGGTACATATAAAAGTTTTCATTACATGTTTGATTAAATCAACTTAAACATCTAACATTAGTTTCTAAACTAATTAAAGAATGAATGTAGTATACGAATTCATATGAAAAATACATATAGTCTAAGTAGATGCATATAACATGACCATATATATATATATTTATATGCATAGACTTATTAGAAAGTTTAAGACCACCTAAAATTTACAATATCTTTGAATTTTCGAAATTAACCCTAAAATTGTATAAGAATGTAATAATAAATTCAAAATAAATTTCATTATTCTCAATGCTTCTTAAAATTCTTATCGTATACTTCATTCAAAAGAATTAAAAGTAAAAATTGTACACATAAATTTTGGAACAGCTCAAAATATTGTAAAATATAGTAATATAAGTATATGTAAGCAAATATGCAAATAATAAATTTGAATGATTTTTTTTTTTATTTAAATTACTATACCTTTAGTTGGATCGGAAACTTGATCATCAAAACTTTCAGTTTTTTTCCCGCCCATATTAGAAGAATTTGAGTCACTGTTATCGATACTATTTGTTGTCGTTTCTGTAGATTGTTGTTTACGTTTTCGGTATTCATTTATTGAAAGCTTAAAAAAAGAAAATAAAGAAAAATTTAATAAATACTCGTAAATTTTCTATTTGTATTAGAGATCTTACTTTTCTCTTTGGAACAGGTGTTGGTTCTGGAATAGTCAATTGTGGATTTAAACGTGGATCATGGCTAGCTGTTTTAGTGATTATTTTTGAAACCCCAATATCCAACAATGATGAATTAGTATTAGCACTTTTTCCCGTATTATTGTTATTATTTGATGTAATTACACTACCCATGTTAAGTGCAACGGATGTAACAATACTTGAAGTACCTAAAAATGACGTAGATGATGTTACATAAGCTCCTAATGTACTATAACTTTTATAGTCTGAGAGCAACATATTTGTTGACTGTGATACAGTAGGTGAATTTTGATATTGATTCCCAACAGGTACTAAAACTGTCGAAACTGGTGCCATTGTTGTTTTCGCCGGATCTAATAATTTTCCATATATCGTATTATAATATGGAATATTAAGACCAGATTGTGAATTTATTTGAGTACTAGAATTAGTCTGAGTTAAGTTTGATCCTAAAGGATTTATTTGCTGTTGTGGAGTGCTTGAACTAAAACTGTACTGAGATAGTGCTGACTGCGTTCCATATTCAGTACTATTTGACACCACACAAGATGGGACATTTTGAATATTTAAATAACTAGTTTGCATCATTTCCGGTTTTGATAAATGTTGCAAAACATTTGAATTTACTTTTAAAGGATTCTGCACACTTGGTGTAAGAACAGTTTGATCTTGTATTGTTGTAACATATTTCGAAGTAGGTATAGATGAAGTTTTATTTAAATTTTCTTCACTTCCAATGAATTTTGATCCTGAAATATCTTCATTTGATGGAATTTTGTGTTCAATATTATTTGAATTATCATACTCTAACTTTTCTTTATTTGAGCTTGCATCATGTTTGTTAGGTTTGTTATAAGTATCTTCCTTATCACGTTTTTTATTATTTTTATCTTTTTTCGATGATTTTTCTCTTTTCGATGATTTTAGATCCGATTTCGTTGAGATCTTTTCCTTTTTAAAATTGTGTTTTTCCTTTGTCGAACCCTCTAAATCAATTTTCTTAGTTTTTTTGTTACGCGATTGTAGTAACATTATGTTTTCAGTATGAAAAGAATGCAAAGTTTTTTGTATATCAGCTAACTCGTCTAATTGCAAAGGTTCATTTACATTTTTTGCATTATTGTTACCTGAAATTATAGTTAAATTTGAATTTTTTTCTAGTTCAGGCGATGGAATATCTTTATTTTCATTTGTCACTGGAGTATTTGGTTTTTTACTGGGTTTACAATTTACTCTTGAAGAGTTTTTCGTTTGCTTTCTATTTAAGTTAAACTTTGGAGAATCATTGATTTGAGTTTCTTCTTTCGGATTTTTTAATAATTTATTTTGTAGCAAATTCTCAAATGAGTGTTCTTTTTTAAAACTACTTTCTTCCTCTTGAATTTTTGTTTTTATATCACATTTATTTTCATTATCAGTTACATCTACAGAAATATTGTTTTCGGATTTGGGTTCGAGCTTTAATTCAATTTTGCTATCATTATTTGCTGTTGGCGATGGCAAAGTTTCTTCTTTTTCTATATCAATTTTTATGTCTTTATTTGTATCTTCTGGCTCAATTTTTATTAAATTGTAGTTCTCTTCAATGTTCAATTTTCTGCTTGGCGATGAAAAGCCCACAATATCAACATCGTTATCAACTGAATTAGAATCAATTGCTTTCAGCTCATTTTTTATTTCTTCTTCTGTGTCTTCGTTCCCTTTAATTTCGCTTTGCAGTTCTTCTTTAAACTCCCCGTGTTCGGATGCCTCTGCTTTAATTGTTTTATACTCATCATTGCTAAGACTAGAATCACTTCCAGTTTTAGACAAATTAATATCTTCACTTGTACCATTCCCACAAACCATTTCCTCCGTATATGTTGTGCTTTGTTCATTTTTTACGACAACAAGACGCCTCTTTTTTAAAGGAGTTGTAAAACCATTTGGAACTTGTTGAGATGTTGGTGAATTAGATCCAGATGTTAGTAAATTTTGGTGCTCATCCGTTTCCTCTGAAATAGCTTGTCGTAGCCATCTTTTCTTAGCAGCGCTATTGCTACAAGTATTTAATAATGGTTGGTTTTCAGGTGGAAAACTTGCAATACTTGAAGGAGAATCTGTGTCTCTAATTAACTGAATATTCGATGAATTTGGTAAATACTCTATTCCTTGAGAGGATGAGTAATCATTTTGTATGATAAACTCTTCAACCTTTTTCGCTGCAAGACATAAATTTTCCGGAATATCTTCACATTTCATTTCACCGTTAGATGCTAATATTGGTTGATTCACAATTTGCATTTGTTGCTGTTGTAAAAGGTTTGATGGAGGTGGTATAAAAGACAAACTATTAACTGCTATTGGAGGCTTGTAATCAACCATTGCAGCTTGTACCAAAGTTTCAAATCCTTTAGGTGAATTTTGAGGGAAGTGAATAACTGAAGTATTTCCTCCCACATGCGAGTTTCGAATAATGCAATTAGCTTCACTATGTGATTTATTTTCTGATAATTGTATTTCTTGATCGTCACTAGACTGGTTTAACCATTCACTCATTAATGATTTTTTTGTTTTTGCTGTTTTGGATGGAATCTTAAAGCTGTCGCTACTTTCGTCGTTATGTAGGCCTTCTAAAGGTCCAAGAGCAGATTCTATTAATAAACAGGCGGAACTTATTGCTGGAGTAGGTGTTTGCGGAGATTTCAAATCCGTGCTGTTTCTTGATTGTCTTTTAGGAGAAGATTTCAAACCTGGTTCTTCACTAGTTTTTTCAATATTGGCAAATGCCAATAATAATCCAGCGTCTTGGTTTGAAGAATTAGTTTCTAATGTTTGCAATTTATTTTGCTGCATTTGAGATTGACTCTGTATTAAATCAGTCATCAAAGTCATTTGATTTTGTTGATCATTTTGTAGCATATTGTGCTGCTGATATTGTGGATGTGGCGCTGAAAATACTTCAGAATTTTGTTCATTACAGTTATTCATATTTGATAGTGTCTGTCTAGACGTTATCGAAGGAGATTTAACTGAGGGAGAGTCGTCTGAAGTATTCCCATCAGATTCATTACTATTTAAACGACTTCTTCTTCGTTTCCTCTGAGTGGCTGCGTGCATAGCATATGACCGATTTCCTGAATAACAAAAATCAAATTAAAAATTATACAACAAATAGATTATAAGAAAGTAAACAACTTAAAACTCAAAATTTAATATTTTAAATCATAAAGTTACCTTTACGTTTCTTCTTGCGTATTGAAGGTTTTTTATTTACAGTTTTTGCAATTGGTGTTGATGCATTCTTATCATCTTCGCCACCGTCTTCACTTTGTGAGCAGGTTTTTGCGCGTTTTGGAGATTGTGGCGAACTACTGTTACGACGTTTAATAGTCTTTGCATTTTTTAGTTCATTTTTACGTTGTTGGTTCTTTTCCATTTTTTCAATAGCTCTCACAATAGCTTCCATTTTTCGCTCCTCTCTAGTCAATTTTCGGCTTTCCCGTTTATTAGGTTCTGTGGATGATGAAGAATTAGTTTGATCGACAGATATATTTGGTGTGACATTATCCTCAGAAGCTGAAGTTGTTCGTGACTTTGAAAATTTTCTAACGTGACCTTTTTGTGGGGAAACTTTCGTTGGTGTTGAAGTATCCGATGTATTACAAAGTTTGTTATTCGTTGAAGGAGAGTCCACTTGATCCGTAGCAATATTATTATTATTGATGCATGAAGTGTTGTTATTGAGAATTGGACTTGTGTTGCCATGGATATTGCTTTGGAAATTAGTGTTAGATTTATTAACCGCATTTCGTTTATCAGAAAGAATATCATTTGTGTTATCCTGAGTTTCAATGTTATTCATATTTTTATCAATGATATTATTCGAGTTTTCTGAATTACAGTTTGTATTTTCCATTATGTTCTTATTTATTTTCTTGTTTGATTGATCTTTATTCATAACTATTTTGTTTAGAATAGTATTTTGCGGTAAAGATATTGTAGAATTATTAATTTTATCTGCAGTCGTAACACTGTTTTGCGTTTGAATAGTTCTATTTTCAGACTCTAAATTTTTTGATTGGTTTTCGTTTTCCGGTGTTAAAACTTTATTATTTTGGGATTTCTGCGAATATTGAAACTTTAACTCTATCATTTGCGGTGGGTCAGCTTGTATTTGTTTTATTTTATCATCTGAAACTGTTTGTGCTGGTATATCTTGACGATCTTTACCTATATTTATGACACTCCCATCATCATTTTTTACAAATTGATTTGTATTCGACTCAATAGACTGTCGCGTATCGGGTACTTCAATTTGAGGATGGGTTATAAGTTGTACAACTGATGGTTGCTGCGATACACAATTTGGAGAGCTTAAACCGGGTGAAGGTAAAATTTGAACTACATGTTGTACCTGTTGAGATGCAGCTATAGAAACTGGTTGAATGTTTTTATCCTGCTGTTGAATTTGAGATATAATCATCTGCTGAGTTTGTTGAGGGGAAGCTAATGAAAGTGGCGACATGTGTTGTTGAGTTTTTTGCTGTAAAATTGGTTGAATAATTGTTGGAATCCCTTGTAATTGAGGTGGAAGTTGTTGAGGACTCACAGGTGTTTGTAGTGATGTATTTGGTGACATTATAGTTTGCTGTATAATTTGCGATTGCGAAATTGCAGTTGCACCAGAAGATAATATTTGAGCGGGTGAAGTATTTACTGGAGCTGAATACACTAAAGATTCTTGTATGTACCTTAAAGATTCCTCAGTCGATTTATTGATGTTGTTATTAGCAATCATTGTTAAGCCTTCAGAGTTATTTGGATTTGTTGTTATCACAGTAGTATTGATATTGTTTGATGATGAGTTAGGACTTAATATTTCGTTTTGACTTTCACCACTTGATGAAATTGATCTAGCCCTAGATGCACTCACATTATGTATTTTTTTACCTTTTTTTACACCAGCTCTTGTTTTTGATGAAAGTGTTCCATTTAGCAAATTCTTTTTTGATTTTTTCTTGGCTGATGTTGGACTTGGCTCAGATAACAAAGTAGGTAATTGTGGAAGTTGACCAAAAGCGCAATCCTTTGTCAATCCACATGCACAAATTGTACTTGTTGGTGCAATATATAAATTTTGACTTGAATTTTTGTTCTCCAGAGCCAACAAATCATGCGGTTCATGTCGAATTGTTATCTCCGTACTGGACATTATATTTGAAAGAGATACGATAAACAAGTGTATTGCCCCTTTTTCGAAGGAATATTGCAGTTCAGCATTGGGTCTACAGCTGCGTCGCACAAAACGAGCTTCATTTCCATATGTTCTTGTATCCACACAAATTTCAGTCGCCAAACCATTTGCGGATGTAACAGCGGCTGCAGCAGCCAACGCAGCTATTCCTCTACTAGAATTTGCACCTGAAACTGCTACTAAACTCGCACTATCCACTGGTAGTTGATAAAAAAATATAAAAGGACCAGGTGTTCGATTATTCTTCGAAGCTGTTATCAATAATGGTGGTGGGGAATTCATATTTAAAGCCGGATTTTGAGTTTTAAATTGGGTTGTTAACATATATTTACCACGAAGCTCAATAATTGGACTGTTTGGTAGTATGTCCATGTTACTTATTAAAATTTTACCACCAGCATGAGGAATCACAGTGCCTTTTGAATCCATGTCAAACTTTCCATAATAGTTGCGCAACCATTTATTTTCATGGGCATTAATAGCTTGTAAAAAGCTTGGCTGTTTAGCTATTGCTTGCAAACGAGCTCTTAATTCTGGCGAATAATGATTTGTCACTGCTACTTCGTAATTTTCTATCCATTGTCGTAAGTTATCAGCATTTTTATCAATTGTTTTAAAATCATGCGCTTTTGATTTACGTTTATTTACACGTTTTGTTTCTTTACGTTTTTGTACTCTTTCCTTTTTGGCATTTGTTTTCTTCAGCAACTCAGATTTTTTGGGCTTCCCTTTTTTACCGGATTTCACATGTTCCGGCGGCACAGCTTGTGGTACGTTTTGTCCATCTTGTAAGGAATTACTTACTACGTTTAAATTATTGGCTCCATTTGTAGCATTAAACTGCATATTTGAAAGCAATGCCGCTTGTTGTTCTTTTCGCTTAACTAGTTGCAAACTTCTTGCTCGAGCTTTATCAACTTGTCTTGGTTGGCATATTTCGCATAAATATTCTTCTGGTATGTTTGTCCGATCTATTCCCATACAATCTACATGTTGCCAAGTACTAGTTATATAGAAAAATGAAAATTTACTTAATTATAATACTACTCTTCAATATATTTTATACTGTTTTTTTATTTATATGTATTCAAGTACTTACAAGCATTTATCACAACAAATCATATAACCATCATCATGGGTTAAGTCACATATACATCTTGTTACTGAATCGTCCTCAGCCTCTGCTTCAGGTGCTGTTTCGGTTTCTTCACCAAGATCCATTTCTAAGCGACCTTGGCCACCGTGGTTTGATTCGTTACTGATTACAGAATTCGCATCATCATCTGCTTGGTGTGATTGTTGTCCAACTGTAAAAAAAAAAAAATAAAAATTACAGTGAAACACATAACTTAAACACGAATAATTTTGTGCTGGGTTTTCTGCAATTAATTCGATTACAAAAACTTACCACTTTGAGAGGAATAACTTGAAGAATTTAAGGGTCCAGCAATATTTGTCAAACTATTTGGTAAATTCTTTCCACTATTATTATTTTTAAGTTGGACGATATTACCGATTAAATTAGTTGAATTATTGTTACTGGTTACTGATGGCGAGTTAGATAAAATTCCAATATTTTGTCCAATAAGATTACCACCGCTGGTAACAAAAATTTTATCATTATTATTATTGCTCACTAATCCGTCATTATTGTTAATTATTTGCCCTTGTTGTTGCTGTTGGTGTTGTTGTTGCTGAGAAGAATACTGAGACGTTTGAATTTGTGATATTATAGAATTTTGTACACTAGAACAGTTTGATATTATCGATTGTTGACTTCCATTATTAGGTGATGCATTTACACCAATAACTGCGCCATTTCCATTATTTTGTGCAGCATTAATTGCTGCTGTTGTTATTGTAACAGTTGAAGTGCCGGATGCAGATAATGAAGTCACTACTGTCGCTAATGGCGAAATAATCTCATTTGTTGTCATTATTTCACTTGGTAATGGTGAAGGCATTGGTACATGGTATGTATGATCTTGAAGAACAGCATGTAATCTTTGTAAAACTGTATCATGTGTTGATATCGGTATTGGACGAACTTCTTCACCAATTATATCATCATCGTGCTCAGCTTGTTGTGCTGCCGGTGTATTATCACCCCTTGGTAATGGTATATTGTCAATAATTGTTGGACAAATTGGTTGTGAATAATAATTTTTATGGATTTCATTAGAACTGAATGGGGTGTTTTTTATTTTTTTTTTAATAACATTAATTTAAATGAGTGAAAATGAAGGACACACAAGAATATTATATTATATATAATAATATGTATGCATACATATATACATAATATACATATGTATATATATTTATATTATATACATAAATATATATGTATATTTTTTTCAAATTATTTATGGAATTATTTTTTTAATTTTAATAATGGAAAGATTTTAAGAAAATATTATATATTTTATTTTATTTAATTGATAGAAAAAAACCCCCAAGTCCAAATAATAATAATATGAAAGAAATGGATTTTGTTCAGGAAAAAAAGGAAAAAAAACGAATTGTGAAAGGCAAATTAATTTAAAAAAGGGTTTTATTCACATATATATATACATATGTACGTACGTATATTAAATGAATGTTGTGCAATTATTTACATGGTTATTGTTATTAATGAAGAAGTATGATTATTAATTATATGAAAATTTTAATAAGTTTTTATTATTAGAAGCGGTGATAATTGCATTTTCAAATATTAACATTATTTTTATTTTATTTTGGTGATAATGATGATAACAGTTGTTAAAAATAAAAAAAAAATAAGAAAACATAAATTAAAATTAAGCGATACTATAGTGGAAAAATAAAAAAAAAATTATTTTAATGAAAAAAAAAAGAAAAATCTTGAATTAAAAAAAAAGAATCATTCATTCTAACAATAACATCTGATTCTTATAGATTGTTAACGAAAATTTTTCAGAATAAAAATTGGTTTAATTATTTTGTATAAAATTTATTTTATAATTATTTTAATTATTTCTTTGAAAATTTTGAATAAAATGAATTCATAAAACATAAACAATTCTCCGTTTTATTTCCTTTTTTTAACAATTCGCCAATCGCAAACATTTCCTAAGGAAGAAATATTAGAACCTGACAAAACTTATTTGCTTTATTCATACTTGAAATAATTAGTTTAAATAATTAGTTATTATGTTTAATAATAACTAATTATTTAAAGTTAGTTATTATGTAAAATAATTTGTTATTGTTTAGTTATTATGTTTAAAAACTTATAAAACGATAAATTTTTATTTACTAAAAATTTCTATATATCATTTTCAAAATATAATTGAATGCTTCTTGCAATCCTCTTTTAAAATTCTCAAATTGTAGAAATAATTTCGGTATTACACCCAGAAAACCTTATTACAAGCATGGGCACGTGAAAGTGATAATAAAATTGCACAATAGTGCTTGAAATATTGTGGTAAGTTTCAATTTTAACAAAAAATTTATTCTTTAATTATTTTAACTAATATTTTTACTTAATAATTTATCGATAAATTTAGATATTAAAAACCAAGTTTTTAAAAGTTTTTGATAAAAAACAAAATTATATGTATAAATCTTTTATTTCATTCTTTAAAAAATTATCATACTTAAGTATGCATATTTTTTGTTAACTTTATGTTCAATTTCATTTTTCACCAGGAAAAATTTTTAAAACATTTAAAAAAACTTAAAAAAAGAGAATCTATACATGAAAATTATGTTAACAATCTACAACGTAAGAAATTTTAGCAACAGACAGTAATTTACTATAATAAACTTATAGATTTATATACATACAGATGTGCCGCAAAAAAATAAAAGCATATATAACAAAAAAACAAAAAATATATGTACACAGAAAGGGATAATCAATTAGTAAAAAAACTCACTTGACTTTAAAGAATTCTGACGTATTTGTTGTGCTCGTTGATTGTGTCGTTGCTTGTGATACACTAACGGTTGCAGCAACAGCTGCAGCATTGGCAGCTGCTACAGCAGCGGCCGCTGCAGCTTTAGATTCACGTTCACGCTTTCTTTCAGATATTGTTTGTGATCTGTTGCTAGCACCACTTGATTGATTATATGATTGCCTTGCTGTTGTGGTTTGTATTGCATATCCTTGATATTGTTGTGATTGCGGTTGATGCTGTTGAGACTGTTGCTGTTGTTGCTGTTGTTGTTGGTTTGAAGATTGCTGTTGTTGATTCGAAGTAAATTGATATTCACGTGATATAACATAGCCCTGAGGTGGCTGGTTGCTCTGACTATTTATTTGATGCTGTTGTTGGATAATTTGAGAATTTTGGATAATTTTAGTTTGCTGCTGTTGCTGTTGTTGTTGAAATCTTTGATTTCCATAAGATTTTAGTGCCATACTTTGTAAAATTCTCGCCGACTCTTCATCTGTCATTTTTGTTCCGTTTACAATCACAATGTTATCGCTCATTGTATTATTCATTTGAGATCTCTGTTGTTGTTGGTGACCTTGTAAAACTACTGTAGAATTTGTAGATGGTTGATTCATCAAAAAAGTCGTTGTTGGTTGTTGTATTTGATATAAAACATGATTATCATTAACAGGATTCGACTTACCACTAATATTAGTATTATTATTGTTATTATTGTTACTATTGTTATTATTACTTTCCAAAAATTGTTGTTGATTATTTTGTTGCGGCTGATGTTGATTGTAAGCACGAAGTCTAGTTTGTTGCTGCGGGTTATTTGCTGCAACAACTGTTGTTGTTGTTGACTGTTGGTGTGTTTGCAAAACAGTACCATGAGCATTTACGAACTTTATTGTTCCACTTTGAGGTTGTAACTGCTGTTGGTGTTGTAGATTGTTGCTATTGTTATGATTATTGTGACTATTATTAATTGTATTAATAATCTGTTGATTAACAACTATACTATTTGATAAAGCATTATTTAAATTTGAGTTATTCTTTTGTGGTTGTGTACTATTGGTTGCAATATTGTTATTTGACTGTTGATTTGCCGCGTTACCATTAGATGGTATAACAATATGATTTTGCATCACATATTTCGTAGTAGAAGTATTTTGATTTAAAGAATTTTTTCCAGTTGTATTTATAATACGTTGGTGTTGTTGAATTGGAAGGCCACTAATTTTATTATTTATTGTGTAAGTTCCTGATGAACTTATCTGTTGATTTTGTGGTTGTTGCACCTGTTGCTGCTGTTGTTGCATTAAAGTAACCGTAGTAGAATTACCTAAATTATTGTTAAATTGCTTAATTACCTTCTGTTGTGTTTTCAATTGTTTTGTTGTTGTAGTTAAAGTAGTTGGTTGAATATTTTGATTAATAACCGTTGAAAATTGGGTATTATTTTGTTGCGCTGGTTGTTGGTGGATAAATGTTTTTACCTGAAATTAAATATCAAAATTTTTCAATAATTTTATTTTGTAGATTACGATTATTTAATATAAAATACTTGTTGTTGTTGTCCTGAAAGATTTACGTTTGAAATTTTATGATGCTGAACCTTCATTTGGTTAACTGTTTGTTTTTTGATCATATTTACATTATTTGCCTTATTGGGGGCTGCAGCAACACCATGCACATATTTCTGCTGCATAATTAATTGATTTTGTGTCTGTTGTTGTTGTTGCTGTGTTTGCTGTTGTTGCTGTTGGCTGACTGTTTGAACTCGCGCTACTACATGTACATTTCTTGGCATATTTACTTTTTGAATTATTTGTCCTGTTGTATTCGTTGTCCCGCCAGCAGTATTTGGATTTTGATGAATAATTTGATTATTTGTGCCAACTTGAAATGTTTGTTGCTGATGTTGTGCCCCCTTAACGCTATTACTTGCTTTTAATGGTATGTTAACAATTTTTTGAATCGTTTGGTTTTTTGTTGTCACATTTCCAGTTGTTGACGCTGTTAAATAGGGTATTTGTTTAGCGCTAACAAAATTTATTTGTTGTTGCGGCTGACCAGCAGCCGTTAACTGTTGTCCCTTATTAGTATTGATGTTTGTTGTTGGAGATGCCGATGATAAAACCAAATTACCAACAAGTAATTTTGAATTTCCGTTGGCCCCAGTTGTGACTCCACCACTTCCATTGCCGCTGTTTGAGGTAGTGGTGGTAACATTACCTAATGAATCAATTAAAACATTTTGCCCATTTCCATCAGCGCTAACTAATTTAATTATTTGTGAATTCAATAAATCATTTGCTGATATATTAACGATTTGTGCAGCACCGGTTGCGGTTGCATGTTCTAAATATTCTTCGCTGACTATCACCTGAGGATGACCACCAGCAGTTTGAATAATATGATGCTGTGTTGTTGTTTGTTGAGGTTGTTGTTGACTCATTTGATTAGTATTGTAAGTTTGCTGTTGATTTAAAGAAGAAAATTGAATATGTTTCGTCGTTGTTGAAGACTGTTGTTGTTGTTGATGAGAAGGTGATGATAGTGAAGTAATTGTTTGTTGTGATGCACCTAAAGGTTAACAAAATAAAATAAAGCTATAAGAACTGTAATAAACGAAAAAAAAAATTCCTCAAAACTAAATTTTTAATTACCAATATTAATCGAAGAATTTGACGAAGAATTCGATATAGTTCGCTGATTTCGACGCATCAAATTTTTTGTCGTTGTTATTGTTGTTGCTGTAACTGGAGTGTTATTTATTGTTTGTTGAATACTAATAATTTTATCATCTCCAATATTATTTAAGTTTCGTAGTTTTTGTGATTGACTTTGTTTAGTTATAGTACCTAAATGTTGTTTTGGTAAAATAATTCCAGTTGAATTTGTTAACTGTTGTCGTTGTACCACAGTTGAAGATCCGGATGATAATATAGATGATGAAGTTTTATTCAAATTTGTATTTATTTGTAAATTTTGGTGCTGCAACTGTTGTTGTTGTTGCTGTGGTAGTTGCTGAATAAACTGTTGTTGCTGGTGATTATTGCTATAATTAGGTGGTATAACTGATGTTTTATCAACAACAATGATACCACTAGATTGCAATGGCATCGCACGCAATTTCTATGCAATATTTTTACAATTTTTGTTTATATTTATATTTATTTTCAAAAAAAAAAAATTATAATCAAATTTTTAACACTTTAAATAAATATATGTACGTATGTATTATTATTTTAGTGAAATCAATAGAAGAAAATTATATATAATCTTTGTTTTTTTTACATTATATTAAAAATTTAATAATAATATTCAAATTTAAAAAGAAAACTAAATATTATTTGAAAAAAATAAAAGAAAAATAAAAAAAAACCAAGAACAATTCATACAACCATTAATTTTTCTTTTATTTATGATGAATTTACTTTTGTTTTTTTTTTTTCTTTTTTTTTGTGTTATTTCAGTTTTATTTAATAAAGTTGATAGTTTAATTTTCTTAAGTTTTCAATTAAGTTTTTTTTATATCATTGTATTTTTTTCACATTTAGAAGTTTTTAGTTTTTAACTTTGATTTTTTTTTTAACTATTATCATAAAAATTTTTTGAGAGTAACGATGAAACTTTCATAATTCTTTTGTTTGTAATAAAGTTTTTAGGTGGCCCCCCAATAATATGGGGGCGATGGCATTTAATATTAATTCTTTTTTTTATTTTTATATTTAATTTAATTAGAGACTTATCAATAATTGTTGGAAAAATTGAACATTTTTGACAAATTTTCTTATTATTGTATAACATCGATGCATTTTTTGCCATCACATTCAGTAACATTACGTGAAATTAGAAAATTTGGATTGCTTGGTTATCAAAAATGTGTTTTTTGATTATTTTTTCCTCCAAAATTGTGTGAACTCTTAATTTTTGTATCAATATTTTCGTTATCCAAAATTTAATCACAAAAATAAGAGGTGGTATTGATTTTTTTCCTTTTTTTTTCTTATTTTGAAAAAGAAAACTTTTCTGTTAGCTTTATAAATCCATTTTTGTGAAGCAATGTTTTTTTTTTATAAATCTGTAAAAAAAAAAAAAAAAAAAAAAAACAAAATTTTTTTAATAAAAAAATTTTATTAAAAAGAGTAAAATTTTTATAAAATTTAATTTAAATTATTAATAATAAAAATTAAGTTCAAAATAATGTTAAATTTATATTTGGTAGGCACTTTTTTCTACAAGACAGAGTTTAGACATCAAACTTTGTTCGTGCATTTTGCTTTGTACAAATTGAATGGAGTTATATTTTTTCCAATCAAACAAAAGTTTTCACATCAAACTTTTATCAAATTTTTATGAAATATTATATAATACATAAAATATATTTTGTAAGTATAATCCCTGACTAGGCGGTTGAAATATAAATTTATTTATTATTGATCAAGTAATAAAATTTAGAACTGAAATAAGGTACCCTTTCATAATTTTGAAATGGAGTATTTTGCATTAAAAAAGTAAACAAATCTATAAATATAAGACTATTGTGGTAATTGTTATACAAGAACAAGATATATTAATAAATTAATATTAAACGTGCATAATCCTAATTATGCACGTAATGAAATAATTAATCTAACTCATTTAGTTTGTTCATTATTGACGTTATATTTTGGATTATTACCGAAAATTTTTCTGTTGTTTAAAATTTTAAATAACTATTAAATAAAATTCTTTCTATAAATTACTATTAGAATATTTTTTTTCTGTAATTCAATTCATTAATTCAGTTTCAGTTGAGAATAAATGCTTCCATATGGTATTAGGGTCTTAAACGCATTTTTTGTATGCTATTCAAGAATTTATTGAAAATAGGATATAAAATTAAGGTTCAAGCCTTACTCACAACAAATTTTCAATTCCTCTTAATAACCTAAATAAAGTAACGTTATCTTAAAATTCTCTTCTCTTATTACCGGAAAATTTGTAAAAATTATGATTAGAAATATAGATTGACTATTTAATAAAGGGTATTGAACATTGTATGACTGTATTTTTAAAATTGTTGATACCTATTGCAAAAAAAAAAAAGCGAAATTATTTGTTTAGTTTCGTTCATTCTAAAGGTTTTTCATAATGAAACTGATTTTAAATGATTCAAGTAAAGAATAGAAAACAAAAAAAATTTTTTTTTGTTATTTCAAAAACCAAATTTCATTTAAATAATAGAAACACAGGTAACCCTCCTACAAACGCGGTTAATAGATTCCTGAAAATTCCAAATTATGGGAAATCGCATTATAGGAAACTTTAAACTACATAAATCAGAGTTAGGATCCTAATCGAAAAAAAATGTTTTAATATGTTTTTATTTAAGATATTTTTCTATTTACTAATTTCATCATAACAACATAAATTAAGAACAATTTATTTATTAAAACAACAAATAAAAAAAAATTATTTCACAAACGTTTTACAAATAATCACATCAGCAAATTGTTAATAATGCAATTCTTTACGACTTCTTTACTGTGCATAACGAGATTAGCATAAATTTCTAAAAACTCTTTCTTTAAAATAAAAATATGTGTGTAAATGTTTGAACGAAAAAATTCGCTGTAGTTTTGCCATCAATAAAATTATAGTCATGCTATAAGGAGGCAATACACCCGCGGATAAGCAATTTTTATTGTAAAATTAAAATAAGTACTTATGTAGTTTAAAATTCAAATGGAACCTGTTTTCACAATTTGTCAAATAAGAAATTTTCCTCATCTTGTGAACCGCGTTTTAGGAAGGTTACCTGTATGTAGAAATACATAGAGACTTAAATACATAAAATATATGAGAGGAAACAAAAAAAAAGAAAGAAAATAATAATAACAAAGAGAAAAAAAATTTTTAATTTTAGATTTCGTAATATTTTTAAAACAAAATAAAAATATAACAATATACTTATTTATAAGTTATTTCAAATATAAATTTACATATATTTATATGTACATATGTATGTAGTATATGAATAAAAATTATACTTAAAAATATTTCAATATGTACATACAAACATATTTTTGTATTGTATGGGCATAAAAAATTGTCCACTTTATTTTTAATTTATAAATAAATAAAATTAGATCAAGCTTCCCCTCGGGCCCCCGCTTTTCACCATCGCTGTTTTTATTCTCTTTTTAATCTATAAAAATTGTATTATGTACATAACAATTTCTATAAAAAAAAAAATACAATGTACATATAAACAAAAGTACAAGCGAAACTTGTACATGCATATTTTTCTAATAAACTTCTGTATATTTTAGCTCTATATATTAATAAATATTTATAAGATTTAATTTTTATCTTATTATTCTTTTAGCTCAAGCTAGACCAAATAATTTTTTGAATAAAATAAGAAAAATTTGAAATATTACACATTTAATGTATTTATATCTACTGATCTTAAGTACATAACTACATATGTACATTTGTGTATATTATAAAAAAAAAAATTTCAAATACAATACATAAAAATACTTCAGTAGTTTGAAATTAAATTCAGATTCTACAACTAAAAATGTTAAGTGTTTATGTGTAAAAAAGAAAACACACAACAGCAACAAAAATATAAAATAAATATGTAGATACATAAATAAAAAATAATATAAAAAAAAAGATAAAAATTTGAAGTTATTTTTCAATGCAAAAGATGTCGCTAAAAATATACCCAATTGTCATTTTAAAGTTTGAAAAGAAAATAAATTTTTCATCTTTTTTTTTTCTGTTCTTTTTTTTTAATTAAATAGAGACTATAGTAAAAAATAAAATTGAAAAAAAAAAAAAAACGCAGTAAAATAAATTTTTAAAATCATAATAATTTGGTTTTGATTTCAAACAAAAATTATCAATTTTAATATGAATTTCAATATTTTATTAAAATAAGGATTAAGAAAATTTTTAAAATATAAAATTAAAATTTTTAAGAAATTAATTTTTTGTGTTGATATTAATATATAAATTCATTTATTTATTTTATACTCGTATTTTTCCCTTTACAGTTAAAAGACTGCCCAATAATTAATTAGTCAGAGATCGCAAAAAACAAGGAAACTAACTTAATTGTAATTTTAACTGGCTATATTGTGATCAAAATCAAAGGATTTGTATTAAATTGAAAAGTAAAATAAAAAAGTGTTGCATAAACCATTTTAAATGAAATTGAAACCCTAATTAAGATTAAAATGGTGACTACTGATCAAAAGCTAGTAATATTTTAGTAAGTATAAAAAAATCTACAAATGAATACCTAATATTGCTAAAACGTTCCTATTATGCTTCAAAAATTACATAAGCCTACAATACAATCTGTAAACAAATTGCAATTACATACTAATAAATTTTAAATTTAGCGATAAAATATAACATTATTGTGAATGTTATAATGTGACATTGTTTACAATAATCTGTATAGAAAATGAAAAATGATCTAATATTTGAATTCATCATTTCATTTAGGAGAATAATTATAAAATAATGATAATCATTAATAAAATAATTGTAGGAAATGAAATATGTAAAAAACGGTATCTAAAATTTATAGGTAAAATTTAATATGTACTTAGACATAAATACTATAAAATATACATAAAAACATTTAAAATTTATTAGATTTATAATGTATTTGTTCGATAAATAATTGGTGTAAGGACAAATGATAATTTTAAATAAAATTTTCCCATATAAAGTCAAATATTTTCTATTGAATACATAAATACATACACACATAAATGTTTTTTTTTTTTTAAAAACATAATATTTCTTTTGATTTACACACAAATCATAATATAATTTAACAAAAAAACGATGCATTTATTAATAATCATACCTACATATATGGAATATGGATGCATAAAATTTAATCGAAAAGAAATTTTCATCAAGGTTGTATGCAAACATATAAATTATTTACATATACATACATACATACATTTGCATGGATGCATAAATTTCCTCGTCTGTAAACTCTCTTCAAAATCAGTAGTTATTGCTAAAATATACAAGTTAGAATGCTTGCAGAAAAAAAATAAAACGAAAAAAACGAAAATGGAATAAAATATTCTTTTTTTGTTAGGTTAGCTTGTTATATATTATGTAGATTACATACATACATACACATGTACATAGTAGTATGTAAGTACATTGTGCATTCTATTTTTTTTACATTGTTTTGGTTTTGTAAAGTGGTACATACTACTACAATATAGAGACTTTAATTACTTCTTTTTTCTATAAAATTAAAAAAAAAGAAATAGAATAGAAAAATTGAAAGAAAAAAAAACAAAAAAAAAAAAAGTTTTTTATATTTTGTTTTTTGTGCAAGCTATTCTATCACTAAAAATCTGGAATAAAAATAATAAATCTCAAAATACATATATATTACATATGTATGTATATATGGATGTGTTCAAGAAAAAAAATTTTGCCAATATGTACTGGGATATTATTGCACTGACTTTAAAATTGCAGTAGCACGGTTAAGCAATAAATGCTTTAAAAATTAATAAAAAAAATATCTGCGTATGGTCTTTAGTTGCAATATTTTTGAATTTTTGAAGTCAGACAAAATATTCTTATAGAGTTTAAAGAGTTTACGTTAACGAGTATATTAAGGAATGAAAATTAAAAATATTTTCATAAAAAATTGTATAAACTAAAACGCATACTTGTACTTAATAGTAAAATGAATTTTACTTTTATTTTAAAAATTTTTATGAAAATATTCCAATATATTAATGGGTTAAATTAATTTGAGTTAAGGTTGTTGTTAAATTAATAATGAGTTTCAGTGACTAGTTTCAAGATATAAAGAAAAACTAAGGGGAAAATTATTGTTAAACAGCTTTTTATAAAAAATAATCAAAATTTATGCATTAATACTCGTATCTGTCAAATTCCTGTCTTTATCTGTCAAATTGTCATTATTAAAGAAATGTTTTTTCATCGCATTGATGAATATTAGCAATAGCATATGATTATTCTCTTTCATTTATCAACGTATTATAAAAAAAAATTTTTTGATAATTCAACTCA